TCTATTAGAAATCCCAATGTACTTTCAACCAATAAAAATGCACGCACGCGGTTGCATTGCGCCTCAAGATGTCTCTCATTGATCAATTGTAAAGTATTCACATACAATTCAACCAATCAGACGTGTTCTCTAGGGGGTGAAGGAAGTGCTGATGATTTAATGAACGAAAGTGATTGCGCGACCTATATCATTCTCGATGAATAGTTAGCTCCAGAACTGAGCATGTAATGGATGTGGCATACAATTCACCGAAGGTCAGAAATAACTGTATGATACCATCTGTCATTATATATCGTTTTCTAAGATTTCTCATAGTGGTATCGAAGGACATTCCTTACCTTGGTAGAGTAACTACCTGATAGGACATAATTTGGTACAGGGTCTGAATCCAGAATGGAAATCAAATAACCAGGCCCCGTTGCATAAAACTTACCATTGATGGTAACTTCGCCACCAACGGCAACTACCATGGTAACATGGCTCAACAGCCAATCAAAATCAAGGTTTCCATGGCAGTTACCATTGATGGCAAAGTTACCATCAATTGTAAGTTTGTGCAGTACATTGAATCTCAAAGGATTTCTTGTAAGCCCTCTCCCAAGAGGGCCTCAATATCATTTAAGATATTCGTTGGTTTGCTGATGATTTTATCATTTATCTTGTCCATTAAAGCAAACCAAGTTGAATATAATCAGCCTAGGATTTTAAATCTACTAATGACATGAAACGTTATAGAAAATATATTATCCTGATCGATATAGAAAATTAAGTTACCAACCGTTCAACAACTAAATCCAAACGTTACAGTGCAACATTGTAAATTATTTAAATGAAAGAAATATCAAAAAGCTATGCTCACAGTGCTAATTATTACACATGTATTGTCATGGAGTGAAATAAGTAAACTTTTCACCTTACAAAGTTTGATGATAGTACATCCAATTAGTCGTATATGTGCAGGTATTTATTAGTCTGGTTATTTTTGTTCTATTGCCCTAAAACAAACAATTGTAAGCATGAACATGATCAAGATAAACATAGAAGTAAACACCACAAAGTACAGCCCGGGACCTTGTGATTCTCATATCACATGCCTGGATCGATGGGTCATGTAAATCCAACTACTATAACTGATCTCAGGGTACATCATTGCAGGAGAGCTAATCATTAATCTGAACATGTTGAACACGTTTTCAAAAGACGAGAAAATAATAAATAATAATAGAATGATAAATCACTCACATTCAAAACATGCAAAGACTTGTCAAATTCAATGTAAATATCTTTTTTGTTTGTACATACAGTATTGGCATATTGTATAAGCCTACCCTGATTTAAAATATTGGCATTTCATTTAAGCTCTGTAGTTTCGAGACAATAAACGTCTCGGAAAAGTTGTAGCCAGTAATATTTTGGTTCGAAATTAAATCAAGTTTAATTAAATGAGTGACTATGGGATAGAACAACACAATGGATATCAGACAATAACAAATATTTGTAACAGCCTACACGGAGCAAACTTTTTGAGAAGGACTATATTGCATTTGTTAAGAAGTTGGACAACCCCTGAAATTTCTCCTTGCTCATTTTAAAGATGGCTGCCACCTCAGTAAAGAAGGACATGAAGAAGATATTTGTTGAGGTGGAGCGAGGGGACACATTCAGGTCTGATATTACAACAAGCCGATCGTATATTTTCGGAACTGTCTTCAAAGACGAAGTGGTTCTTATAGATAAGGAATTTAATATCTATACTACGAGCCTAAAAATGAATCAAACCTACATGGTTCGTGAGCAAGGCAAAGACATTTACTCCTGTGCCCCACTCAAGGATGACAGGGTTGTCTGCGGAACAATCCATGGCACAGTCCTCATATGCGATCAGCACTGGGACCTTATCAAGGAAATCGACCTAGGAAGACCTCCTATTAGTTCCTCGAACACTGCTCAGTATGTATGCGTTGACGTTGATGAGGACGACATGATACTTGCGGCCATCTTTGATGACACCGTTGTCCAGGTCTTCAGCACTGACAGCAGCGAAGCCATAGAGTCTTTCACCGCTGATGACCTGCCAATCAGGGATATCCGCGCCCTGTCAAATGGAAGAGTCATTGCACGCATCTGCAAGCCCAATGGCACCGACTTGTCCTTCGTCAATCACTCTGGAACGTTGGTCTCCCCGTGGTCGTCGTTCTTTTACGATAAATACATTTGGAGCGTTTCAGTGGATCGTTCTTGTGACGCCCTCTACGTCATATATTGGGATGATCAACGTCAGGTCTACTCAGTTTCTGTTGTTGCTCTTCTTGTTGGTGTTATCGAGGATAGGATCATTGATTTTAAAGGATCCGAGGACAGATGCAATGGCCCGACATGCGCAGTTACCGAACCGGGCAAGTTTGTCATCTATTATAACGGAGAGTTTCAAAGCTATCGAGTGAAAGTCCATCTACGAAATGAATGATCAAACAACCATCATTCTTAATGAGAAAACTCTCTAAGTAATGTTCATCCACCCTTATCGATGACGTGTACATGTGAACCTCTTACGGACTGAAAGTTTTTAATTAAAATTAGATAGTAATGTTATTGTATATCCATGGAATCCGATGGTAATATATGGTTATCTGTGATGGTTATATCAATTTGTATTTGGGAATATAGTAGTTTTAAGGCAGGGTAATGTTCATGTATGAAATTATTTAATGCCGGAATATCTTCTAAATCCATAATCCTTAATCCTAGACAAAGTGTGATTTTGTAATTTTGTAATCTATAAACATACTATCTGCTGTGCTACTGCGATCTAGCACTGGATGTAATGTTCGATCTGAAATTCGACAGTTTCATTATTTTACTGGTATCCAGAGTGTAAATATATTCTTAGGACCCTATTAGAAATAAGGTTATTGGCAACTTTCATTAGTTATCCTGCCAAGGTAAATATTTGTTTAGCTTTATACACTTCTTATGCTTTATTTTATAGCATACTTCACGAATAAAATAAAAAATCATTGTGGGTTTTGGAGTAAGATTACTGGTACTATAGGCCTGTATGACTTGCACAAACGCTTTTACTATAATTAATCAATCTAATTATAATTATGTGTAAATGTGCATGTTTCTCTCAAAAATCGTCTGTACTTCATTGGTTTATTTAACCCTTCCTATCGATACAGACTCTTAAAGCAATCCATTGTCGACAGAATGCGTATCTTTGTCTTTGTACAACATATTGTTATTTTCACAGCTAACTAAATTAACGTACTTCATAAAACAGCGTTCAGGTTAAGACTGTGATATATATTTCGAGGATTGTAATACGGATCATTGAGACTCGATCTTTAAACCTTCTTCATTCTCAAGCCATTGAATAGTTGTTGAAACTAGCACTTGATTATGACAAGTGAACAAAATATTGTAGATATTCAAGAATGACCGACGAACTTTTTATAGTCTGCTGTATCAATCCTTATTCGTAATCATGATATTTGCTGTACATAAATATGTTGAAGCAAAAAATAATGTAAATAGTAGAGATGACAATGCTACCATTGTACCTTCAACAATAAATGACGAACTTGTCATTGCCTGTGAGTAACTGGATATCATATCAAACAGTCACATAATATTTCAAGATAATTATGTTGTCTAGGGCACATCCAGGGAAGCTTAATGCGACAATCGATCTCAGCGTAGCAGGACGATTTTGAAAATAGGTGCTCCACGTCTGTAAAAGAATGATGAAAATCCCCTGGACTGACAAAGTTAGTAATGAGGAATTTCTTACACGAGCTGGAGTGCAAAGGAAAATGATACGTGAGATGTTGATTAGGCAGTTGAAGTTCATGGGTCACATTACACGTAAAGAAGGCCTAGAGAATCTTGCTTTGACAGGGCAAATTGTGGGAAGAAGGAGGATACTTTGAATGGACAGTCTGCAGAAATTGTTGGAAGAGAGAGGAGTGAAAGAACTGGGAGTGGTACTAATACAGAAGGCTAGGAACCGACGGTTGTGGAACAGCATGATCGCCAAAGTCAATCGATATGGCACTTAGAGAGAGAGAGAGAGACGTCTGTAAAGTATGCATGACCAACAGAGTAAGGTCCACGCATGAGCTTCGACAAGTGGAAGGGAGTGCCCTTTGAGCCCCCTCCTCCTGTCCGTCGACTCTATGAACATAATTCCACGTAGACATAAGTAATTATGTGATCAATTTCGAAGAAATCTAATCGGAGACAATGTGAGCAAGAGCTAACATGTTCAAGGAGTAAACATATACCGATAACATCGATGCGACCACTGTATAATCCGAATAATGCGAATTTGTTAAGGCACGTAAATGTCGTAAAGGACAATGTTCGATAAAATCAGAACAACAAAAGAAAATGACGAGTATTGTCATGATTTTTTTTGTCGTTGGTTTACTTTTTACGGCGTTTGTCATTGAATTCATTTCTTAAAAGCCCGTTCCCGCTTGAGAGGACGTACAGCCGTCGGTCCTCTGGTTGCTTACTAACAAGTATTTATGCTTTCTTAGCAGTCGGGTAAAATAAGGACCACTAAAAGAACTTGTGCCGTTCACATTTATTGCTAATCTTTTGTATCATGAGTTCAGTTCGTTTCATACAAGGAAGAAATACTTTATGAGTATCAGCCCATGAAAATAACTTCAATTTTTTTTTAATTGACTTTTATCCCCATTAACGGGTTCACGGATTCTTCGCCAGCTGGCAGTGTTTACACACTATAGAACAAAAGTATTATATTTCTCTATCTCTCTCTCTCTAGCTCTTTGAGTCTGAATTTTTTCTTTATCTGTTTTTATATCGCCTGCTTTATTTTCGTTTCTCTCCATGCCCCGACCCCTCCCCCGACCCCCCCCCCCCTCTCTCTCTCTCCCTCTCTCTTTTACACTCTCTCTTCCTCGTTCATTCTTTCTACTTGCTTTGTTTATCGTTCCCTTGTCAATAATAAACTCATTCAAAAAATAAACTCATGATTCACAGGTAAGATTTATTTCTTCATGATTATAGCTGTACCTGCATCAGTATAAATAAAGTATGAGTTTGAATTATTAATTCTTAACACAAATCCAAAGAAAACAAAACAACCAAGACTCTTTTCCTGCGAGATATCAATTTGAAAATACATTAATTTAGGTATCAAAGAAAATGGAAACTTCTTATCAAATGCATGAATTCAGATGCATAAATAAAGTCATCTTGTTAATAGTTTCAGCATTATACTAATTCTGGAAAGGACATAAGTTGTCAAGAATTGGCGACAACTTATCATTCAAAGAGTAAAAAGACATCTACGTTATACATGTATTTACGGTTTCAGTTTGTAAACGTCCACAAAAATTAATTTTCCCTAGAAATTTAACAATACTAAAAGTACTGAAATATTTATTTAAAAAACACAGTTATATCATCATAGCAACAGTTAAAACACAGGATTGAAAGGCAGGGTGTGAAATTATAAGAATGAAAATCAAGGGAGTTTTTGTAGGTAATGTTTTCAGGGTTATATTTTTTCAGAGAAAGAGGTTTTGATCAATTTTATGAAAACGAATGCTTTTCTAGTTATACTACATATTAAGTGCTTTTTGACAACGGTGCCTGTTCTTAACATGAATGTATTTTCATCTGGTATTCCTTTCAAGGTAAGTCGCTTAATTAAAATAGTATAACTTGTGACTAGAGACAAGAATATGGGTCAAGTTCATTTCATTGAACTTCATAAACAGCACGGAAGCCCTTGCCTTGCACGGTGGCATCAGACCTGAATAGTAGCCAGACCTCACCCGTGTTCAACTTCAGCTCGTTCGGCGGTGGATCCGAGCCGCAGAACCTAGCATACATTTGAAAAGAAAAAAACACCATATATTATAAGTGTTATAAATCTCGTACCCCGCATTGGTTGAGAGTTTTAAAAATAAATATTTTAAAAAATCTATATGGGCAATTGGGCTTCAATCTTTGATACATGGATCTCTTTGACGTTTTGATTTTTAAATAATTTATTGGCTATCATACACATAAAACCTGATTTCTCATCATAAAAAAGAAGATTCTCAAACTGTATAGCAAGTTAAATCACAATATATTACACACTTTGAGAACCTATGGAACCAATCGATAGTACTACTTGTACAGCTCAAGAAGATATAATAGGATTGTACATCAACAAAACTTGTATAATTCTGTATGAGGATATCTTAAAGAAACTGCCTGCAATTAACGATTTTAACTTTCACATAATTTCAGCATCGTTTGATATCGAGTAAAGTTTCGTTATCATGCTCATAAAATAAATAATGCAATTGCACCGAGATTATAGAATATATTCAGACGAGGTGGCCGAGTGGTTAAGGCGATGGACTGCTAATCCATTGTGCTCTGCACGCGTGGGTTCGAATCCCATCCTCGTCGCTAAGATTCTGTTTTAATGATCTTTTGAAAAGTTTTCATAGCTATAATTTTTTATAGAAATGTTACCCCCCCCCCCCCCCCCCACACACACACACACACACACACACCTCTGCAAACAAGAAAACCAATAACACTGTTCAATTCAATTCAATTCACATTTTATGAAAACCTCTTTCATGAAAACTTTCGTTTTGACGCACCTCCTATTAAAAACGCAAGTCGACTCTGATTGGTTGAAAGTTAAAAAAAAAAAAAAGAAGCTTTGTATAGGTAATGGAGCTTAAATCTTTGATACATGGATCGCTTTGAAGTTTTGATTTATAAATAATTTAGTGGCTATCATACACATGAAACCTCATTTCCCATCATAAAAAAACCTGTAGTTAAATCACAATATATTACACACTTTGAGAACCTATAAAACCAGTTCAAGAAGATATAATTGGATTGTCCCGGGGATTATATCACATTAATATGATTAAAGATGTTTTTCAATTATAGATCTCCCACCCAGGTATGGTTCTTCAAGAAGGATTTTTTTTAAATGTCCATTACATATTTTTAATTATAATGGTCACATTCTTTGGCAATGACTGACTGCTTTATCAAATATTTTATAATTTTATTTTCATTTGTTAACTTTTAATCTCGTACCTTCCTATATGCGTTGAGTTGGCACCACCTTCTGGACCGTCAAGGATCTCGAGATAGTCAAATTGGCAACTCGATTCGGGTTCTATATCGAATTTTTCAAAGTGAAAAGCAATGACACTAACATTCGATATGGTCCAAGTACATTGTAATTTGCTTGGATAGCCGGTCGGGAAGCCGGGGGTCGCAATGACTCCTGATTCTGAAGAGAAAAACAGAACAAGAAAAAGAACAAGTGATGTAAACAATAACTTAATGTGACAGTGAGATGGGTGAATTAATTTCCCATCCTGAACTATCCGATTGCATGAGCAATAACTCAGATGAAATGGATATCTACAAATGAAACGTTCTTAAGGTTGTCAATGACAGCCTTGTTCTTCTCAACAAGCCCCTCCTATAGCATCCGGGTCCCTCTAACTCTCCTCGAAGCCCCTTGTACCCCACCTAAACTCCCTCCCCACCAAACAACCCATTTCGGATAATTAGCTCAGTCTTTAAAAGAAAAATAAACCATTTTCGTACTGTACCGGTAACCAAATCTAATGCATACGTCTTTGTGAAGCGCCTCGATACGTATTATTTCATTCCTCCGTTACGAATAATTGTATTTAAATAGTCAGAATGCAAACTACATACCTTAGTCGTTGTCCGCATTCTGACTTTCTTTTCAAAAATCAATTATTCATTACAGCTTAATGAAATATTTGTATTGAGGCACTTCTTAAAAGTGTTACTTCAAAACCAAGATCATGCGTTAACCGACCATAAGGCGTTAATTGTCCAGATGACCATAGGCTTGGTAGCTAGACAAGCTAGTTGTCCTAGGAGAGGTCAACACATTGTACCTTTATATTCTTTTAGTAATTTATGGTTTCTTTAATTGTGAATTTAAAAAATATATATATATTTATTGAGGAGTCATTCTATGATATCCAGAATATACTTACCATTTAGAGGTCCGCCGCATGTGAGTACGTAATCATCGGAATCTCCTGTCGTGGAATAGTCCATGAGAAAGGCGCCCTCATGAGGCCAATCTGAGTGATAGTGAACCCAGACTCTGCTAGAGGTAGTATTGAAGGTGTGTTCCCAGCCGTTTTCGCCGCATACTCGTGGATATTGTCCAGAATAGGTCTCTTCACCACGTACGGAAATGTAGTCTGCACACGAATTGTTGCTCGACCACTCGAATAATTCTAGACTGAAATGCACAGTTAACCAGAGGATGAAGTTAGAACAGAAGGGAAGAGAACTCAGTGCAACCAACCCACTGAACTGCACTGAAATGCACTGAACTGAACTAAACTGAACTGAACTGAACATAATGTATATAACATTAATGAACTAAATTGATATGGTTTCAGTTAAAAATAAACGGAACTGAATGGAACATAATTCAAATAAAATAACCTGAGTGATCTGTATGGAATTACATAAACAGGTCTGAAATGTGGTTAAAAAAATTAACTTAACTGATTCAGATTGAAATTAACCGAAGTGAACTATGGATTGAATGTCACAAAATCAAATGATCTGAGCTCAGTTCATCTGATCAGACATGACCTGACTGAATTGAATTAAACTGAATCGACATGAATTGATATTTACTGAATCAAAATGAATGATATAGTCTGAACTACTGAACTGAACTGAATTAACCTAAATGAATGAAACTAACCTTAAATGACCTAAACTGAACTGAATTGAAATGAAATAAAATTAATAGAACTGATCTGAACTGCAATGAACCAAACTACCCTAATGATTTCCCAAAATGATCCGGTATGTGAATTGACCAGAATTGAACTGAGCTACATAATCTGAATTGAACTGTTTTGAAAGTAACTGAACTGAAATAAATTGGAATGAACTGTATTGAACTGATGTGAATTGAACTGAAACGAAGTGAACCGAACTGAACTATATGATCTGAATTGAACTGTATTGAACTGAACTACCTGAGCGATATCCTGAGATGATCCGGTACATCAATGAACCAGATACAATCAATGGAATGAGTGTTGTTGGTTGGTATGTGAGGTCGAGTTATAACGCCCTCAACGGCGTTCATAAAACCTCCGCAACCAGGAACCACTGTATTGAATTAATTGATCAAGATAAATATATGAAACAAACAAAACACGTGTAAGCAGTATTCTCGAGGTGTTAAGAATGATTTAATAAAGCAAATTTGTTGTTGGTGTTTTGGAAATTGGCATACAAAACAATCTTGAAATGTTATGCACTCGCCATTTTACACATACACTACCTGCAAATTTGTTTTGAAAACAACAAAAATAAAACGTAATGAAACCAGGAAAGAAAGAAGACAATAAACTTGGAGGATACATAATTATGTTAATAATAGTACGGAGATAAAGGAGAAAAGATATGGGAATTGTTGATGAACACCTCAGCAAACGGCTTTTTAGATTCCATCCGTTTTGCAGCGTGGTATGTACTTTATTCATATATCGTTATCTATTGTCAATAATATTAAAGTCTAGCTTTTCATGACTCTAAAACTTACACATTGTGTGTGACCCCAACAGAAGAGTAAGATTCTAAATGATTTACAATTTGGAAAATGAAATGAAATTGTCATAAGAATCATTTGAAAGGTAACTATTTTTTCCTGACTTGGCAGGAATCGCAACAAACAAATGCCCCCCCCCCGAAAAAAAAATGAATACATTAAATTAAATTGTCATAAGGACCCTTTTAAAGGTAAAACTATTTCTGGCTGAGCAGAAATTGCAAAATATATAAGCTTCCTGGAAAGATTTGCAATCTATAGTGACAAAAGATGAAATAGATATTTACATTCGCAGCTCATCCTATCAATTCCCATGATGAATGCCGGATCACACGAACACGCAAACGCTCCATACGTGTTATGGCAGTAGTGCTCGCAAACATCGAGATGGGGTGAGTCACATTCATTCACATCTAAAACAACAAAACACGATAAATATTATTTTTTTTAAAACAGGTTCATTGATGGACCCAGGATGCGGACACGTGCCCCTCGTAAACAAAATTAAACTGACATAATCCCATATTGGTACAGAAAAAAATTGTGTAACATGTGCCCTCTTCATTTGCAACAACCCTAACCACAACCGATGCTCTCTTCGAAATTCTTATCAATATGAATTGACATCAATTTCCAACTTTATTCATCAACCATTACTGTAATATAGCACTTTCGAGCATTCACAAAGTAGGAAACGTAGAGGCTGTTCACACCGGCAGAGATAGCGCGCGCTAGACCGCGCTATCTCTGCGGTTTGGAAGGTACAACGTCGTTTCGGTCCGCCCAACAGCGAGCCACGGCGAACCAAAACGGCGTGCCACTGGAGCACCTCTTGGGGGTGGTCCACGAGAGAGAGCGCGGTCTAGCGCGCGCTAGAAAAAAAAGGGGTGCTACGATAGACCGCGCTATCTCATTGCGGTGTGAACAGCCTAACAGTCTGTAATTACGTATTTTAGAAAGTTGAAAGGGCTATTCACAAGGAACACTGCTTTCTCCAAAAATCAGTACGGTTGTCTTGGGCACGCACCCGGCTCGGCAATGCAGCAGGTGTTTCTTTGAATAGAAAGGAAGATGGTCGCCCAAGCCCCACGCACAGATACAACATGACGCAAACCCCGCTTGTCAATTTGAATACAGACGATTCCGATAGATTTAATTACAGTATATCAATATACATCGTTTCAAGAAGATCACGACTGAAATGATAATTGGGATCTTCGTGTTTAGGAGATACTGAAGTTTTAATAAAGACTCTCGGCTTTTGCTATCACTCCATTATTTGCTCTCCATCTAATCACTCCATCTAACTCGACAGGAACTAAATACGCTCACCACCGATAATCCTCATCTATCAACATTTGGAGGTACAAGCGTCTTTCACGATATACAATCTGTATATTAGCCGAGAAACCTGTCACAGAGGTATAACACTAATCGGACAGATATCACGAAACGATTGGTCATCTATCCGACGTTTATAATCTTCACCAGTTCTCAATCTTCACGCTTGTTGATAAAGCAAGCATTTGCTCTCACCGAGACTTTGGATACAAACTTATCATTTATACTATTTGTGAATAGGTGAGGGTTCAGCTATATGTCATCATATTCAAAGTCCTCACTGAATTACATCTCTAACGAGATGGATTATGAATATCTACCACGTTATGAGAGGATGGTGCTCATGAAAGACTGGCAAGAGTTACATCACAACTACAGAAACCTCGAGCACCGCCTAGACACCATGCAATCAGACCTCTCTCAGGTACGGCTACGAACCACGGAGCTCACATCGAATCTCCAAGACCACGTCCAGCAGTGTTCTCGCGTCGAACGACGTCTGACCTCGTTACATGGTGAGTTCGCTAACTTGAGTGACGATGTTTCTGGGCTGAAGCGTCAGTATGTGGACAATCGTGCAACGTCGGCGTTGACTACCCAAGAGGAAGGTCTGTCCATTCGTGCGAGCCATTCTATTCGACAACATGAAAAATTTACTCGGAAAAAGATATATCCAATGACAACCTCGGATTATCGCAAATCGGATTCATGTTCCTTTGGAGTTTATTTGGATGACGGTGAAACAAACAGACGACAGACAGACCAATGCTTTGATGAGGAGGTTTTACCCAATTCTCCAACTGTCGTAGATGAACCTGTTGAGTCGTATACTCTCCCGTCTGATCTTGCAATACATACGTTATTGTCCGAGAAACCTAGAGCAGAAGAATTGAACCACTCCGACACTTATAATAAATCGGATGGTCACCTTTCCGTCGTTTATAACCAACACCAGGAAAGGAAAATCGTTGAGGAATCGAACATTGGTTCTCACCTAGATTTTGAGACAGAGCACATTCCAGAAGGCAACAGGAAATCTTCAAGTCGGTTAGAAGACGTTACTTTTGAAGGTAACCCTGAGGAAGAATTTGTTTGGGCGGGAGCTGCGCAAAGTGATATACAAGAGTCTTTCCGTCAAGAAATAGGACATGACGATGTAGTACATTGCACAGGATATCTTGATGGTGGAGATGATGATGAATCAGGTTCTTTGTGTTCGGTAGCAACGTATCATCGGAGGGACAGTGATTCAGGGTTTGTTAGTAAGGTACTACACGAGAGTGCTGTCTTACAGAGCTGTACATCAACACCAAAGACCACATCTAGGCATGAAGACACGTCGGTTGACAGCATGCAGTCCTCAGCAGATACAAACATGAGAGTAGAACCAGATGGAGCTGGGGTAACATCATCGCTTGCTACAAGAGAAGCATTGTCCACCTACTCGTGGCAATTCTTCCAGGTCTTTGACAGACTTGTGGACCGGCGAATGAGCAGGAAAACCCGATCGCGTTTATACGTCCCTGACAGCTGTTCTTCTACAGAATCAACAAAGGAGAGTGGACCGAGCGACACCGATTGGGACACCGCTCATGGTTCCTTGATCGACATGAAACGTCGCTCTCGCCGAGCCATTCTTCGACGGCTGACCATGAGTGAGGTCATGCTAGCTGACCTGCAAACCTTCAGCTCAACGTTAGGGCATGGCCTGAGTGATTACTTCGACACTTCCTCTGTGACCTACGATGAGGTCAAGAATCTCCTGTCTTGGATTCAACCTGTCGGACAGGAAGATTTTAGACGAGTGGTGCAGCTTGAAGACGTAGGTCTCAGTGACAGTCTGAGAGAGGCATTGCGCGTTGCAATTGCGACAGTACATGCTACACTTCATCCATCCAAGGACAGTGAGGATAATGATAGAGATTCATCCGTTGATCTTCATCCAATCTTTTAGTTTTCTCATAAAAGTCAAACAAGGGTATAAAGACGTTACAAGAGGTCATTTTATTCACTGACAGGTTTTCTTTCCTATTGGCTAAAGAAAATAGACAGGGAAACAACGAAAAATATGAACTTTATACTTACGAAAGTGGGCTAAATATACCGGTTATCAAGCAATATAAAATATTTTTGTCTTATTCTCAAACTTAAATGTACTTTGTAAACTTATTTGATTTCGAATATACTTGTCAATATTTCTTTACTTATATAATTCATTTGTTCTATTATATATTGTATTACTGTATGGTTTATATATGTCATTTAATTTGTGGATATTTGAGTGGAAAATAAATCAAATCAAATCAAATCTGTTGTGAGTAATGCTATAGACAAGAAGATGAATGAGATATTGTCAAGATTAGATCGAGTTGAGGGTGACGTCTTTGACCTACAAAGCAAACTGGAAATGAAAAACAAAGAATTGGAAAAATTAGTAGGAAAGGTTTCACTCTGTGACAACACCACCGCCAAACTGGAAAATGCATTAAATACCATGGAACAATATTCAAGACGAGCATGTATCAGAATTTTTGGTGTAAATGAAGTGAAAGGGGAGAACACAGATGCAGAGGTAGCTAAGGTTGTCACAGAAACACTTGGCATCTCCCTTGATGTGGAGCGGGATATTGATCGTTCTCATCGCGTAGGAAAAGTAGTCCCAGCAGTATCAGCACTCCGAACTAGTACTGCAACATCCGATCCTCGACAGGAAACAAAGAAGCCACGACCAAGATCGATAATTGTGAAGTTCACAAGCTACAGAAAGAGAAAGGAAATATTAGAAAAAAGAAGGAAGCTAAAAAATACAGGAATATCAATTGTGGAAGATTTGACGACAAAGAATCAGAAATTGCTTGCAACTACACGCAGTACCCAAGGGGTACAATCTGCATGGTCTTCGGATGGACGAATAATTGCCTTGATTCCTGCAAGTGGAGGGAAAAGTATCACAAAACTCATCACCTGTGATAATGACCTTCAACATATAATAACTCACTGACAAATGACGTCATGGTATACTCTTGCCTCTCGAAAATGGCTCTAGTAACAATGAATTGACTGTAATCCACCTACTCCAAATGGATACTGTGTCATACCTGATTTGTTTGCTGTTGTTGTTGTCATTGCTTGCTTTGTTTGTTCTTTTTAATTTAATTTAGGTATGCTCTGTGTTATATGTAATTGTATAGTGGAACCTAAAACTCTATCTTGCCACATATGTTGTTCTCAATCTGATAGCTTTCACAAAAAATCAAAATGTCTTGAAGTATGTACCTCTGTAGAAAAGGATCTCTGCAATTGTCCTTTTCCATCTTGTTTTCATAACATATTTGCCTTTAATAATACTGATGATATCGCATTTGAACATCTTTTTAAAAGGAATGTCAATACTTACCCATACCAACTTTTAAATAATCTCCAGAACATTGAAGATGTTTACTCTGATGACATGGATCATAATCTTGATGTCTTGGACTGTAAATATTATTTAGATGATGATTTCTTAACAAAAGCACTTGAATTCAAAGAAAATTTTAGTATTATTCACTTCAATTCTCGAAGCTTGTCTAAAAACTTTGATGCAATATCCGATTTTATATTTTCTCTTAATTTCGATTTCTCCATCTATGGCTTTTCAGAGACTTGGATCCATGAAAACACACCACATACTTTTAACCTACCTGGATATTCGTTTATACATAATGATCGCAAACATGCTAGAGGAGGTGGTGTGGGTTTGTTAATTTCTGATCTTTTGGATTTTGTTATTAGACATGATATCTTAGAATGTTCTGAATATTATGAGTCTTTATTTATAGAAATTGTTATTCCTAGAGGGAAAAATATTATTGTCGGTGTTATTTATAGAAAACCTCAATCAAAAGTTATGGATTTCAATAAACACCTTCAGTCTTGTTTAGAAAAATTGAATATCGAACATAAACATGTATATATAATGGGAGATCTTAATATTAATCTACTGAATCATGATAATGCTTCTGTGAATGAATTTTTGAGTGCAATACATTTGAATAGCTTTGTGCCCTTAATTGATAAGCCAACGCGTGTTACAGAGACATCCTCATCTTTAATTGATAATATTCTTACTAATAACTATGGATCAAATGTGCTTTCTGGCTTATTTTACAATGATATTACAGATCATTTCCCAGTTTTTCAAATAACCCACTTTAAATTTCATGCACAATGTACTTCTACTCGTAAATTTCGTCGTATAAATGAAAGTACTATTAGAGCTTTTGAAGAAAAGGTGTATAATGTTGATTGGAGTGATGTATTTAACTGTACAGATACTGATGAAGTTTATAATATGTTTATAGATATGTTATCCAAAGTTTACGATGATGTATTTGTAATGGGAGACAGTAAGACCACAAGAAAAATTATTAAAAAGCCATGGATAACTGTAAGCATATTAAAAAAGATAAGATTAAAAAATAAATTGTTTAAGAAGTATAGGAAAAATTGTACTGATGACAATAAGAAAAGATATGTCAAGGTCAGGAATAATGTTACTAAAATATTACGTTGTGCACGCATAAACTATTATAAACTTAAATTTCAGCTTTTTAAAGGAAATATGAAAAAAACATGGAATATGATAAATGAATTACTTGGAAAATGTAAGAAGAATTTACCATCATATGTTACTATAAATGGAATAGATGTACATGATGAAAAGGATATTGCTAATAACTTTAATACATATTTTGTAAATATAGGAGCCTCTATGGCTAATTCTATACAACAAGATGATAACTTTGTTGATTTTTTATCTGGAAGATGTAACAACACCATATTTTTAAAACCTGTTAAAGAAACTGAAATATTGGAAATTACTAAAAATATGAACTCATCAAGTAGTAGTGGCATTGATGACATTAGTCCCCTTGTTGTGAAAAAAATTATTTATGGTATTGTGAAGCCTTTATGCTTCATTTACAACCTATCATTCTCATCTGGAATAGTACCCTTGAAATTAAAAACAGCAAAAGTTACACCTGTTTACAAAAAAAAAGATATCCATGATATTTCAAATTATAGACCAATATCTGTTCTTCCCGTCTTTTCTAAGATATTAGAAAGGCTGGCTTATAATAGGATTTTTGATTTTTTGTATAAAAATACTATATTAAATGAATTTCAATATGGTTTTATGAAAAATGTTTCTACTGAAATGGCACTTATTGACTTACATGATTATGTTGTTAATTCTTTTGCAAATAAATTATATACAGTTGGTGTTTTTCTCGACCTGAGTAAGGCATTCGATTCAATTGATTACTCAATATTGTTACATAAATTAAGTTATTACGGTATTAGAGGACTACCTTATTCATGGTTTAAAAGTTATTTACATAATCGAACTCAAGTTGTGTCTTACAACAATGTCATTTCAGATTCTTCTAATATTTCATTTGGTGTTCCTCAAGGATCGATTCTAGGTCCTTTGTTATTTCTATTGTTTATCAACGACCTCCCAAATTGTTCTAAAATATTAAAATTTATATTGTTTGCTGATGACACCAATATCTTATACTCTACAGATGATCATTTATCATTGTCAACTAATTTAAATAACGAACTACTAAAGGTCTCTAAATGGTTTAATGCCAATAAACTTACATTAAATATAGATAAATCAAATTATATGTTATTTTATACTGTGAAACAGAAACAAAAGTATAGTACTTTGCAAAACTTAGTTGTGAAACTCAATAATTCATCAATTGAACGTGTATATTGTACAAAATTTCTGGGTGTTTACATTGATCATGATTTATCATGGAAGACTCACATCTCTTATGTCAGAAAGAAGTTATCACAGAATATCGGTGTCATCAGCAAATTATGCCATATCCTACCAAAATGCATTCTTATAACATTGTATAATACTTTAGTCCTGCCCTACTTATCATACTCTAATGTTGTATGGGCTAATACATATTCTTCCAAATTGGAAGCCATTTTTATATTACAAAAGAGATTTGTTAGAATTGCCTCATCGTCTTCATACTTGGCACATACTAAACCCTTATTCATAAAGTTAAGCATACTGAACATTTATAAATTAAATAATTATTTTAATGCAATACTACTTTTTAAACACAAGCTTGGTTTATTACCCAATAATTTATGCATTATGTTAACTTTAAACTGTTCAGTTCATAATTATAATACTCGAAACAAAATGAATTATTATTTATCTGCTTTTACAAAACAATATGAATTACACTCTTTTAGACACAAAGCTCCTTCTGTATGGAATTCCTTACCGTCAGACATTACTTCTATTAATAGCCTGAACTCATTTAAAAGAAAGCTTAAATTATATCTTATTTTTAATAATCTTACATCATAAAAACACTCAATTACTCCACAATGCAAATTTGTTTAGGGTTGTGCGGTCTACATGTATGTTTTTGTTTTTGCTTATGTTCTACTTTGATTTGTTTTGTTTTGTTATTTTTTGTTATTGTTTATTCAAATACCATATATCATTTGTATGATTCCTATACTGTTTTTTTTTTCCTCAGGTGGCTGTCCAGACAAACCCTCTAGGGTTTTTATACAGCAACCTAATTCCTATTTGTTTGTTTTTACTGTCAATATTGTACTATGTTAATCATATTTATGTAAAAGTAATATTTTGATGTCACCGTTTTTGTTTTTTTACTATGGAATTAAATAAATACTGAACTGTACTGAACTGAAATAAATCAAATTTAAAAAAAAGAGATTGTATTGGCAAGGGTAGCTGATAAAAATAGTGTACACCGGGTTCAGTTACCGAACAATAATTCCGATTCATTTATCCAGGATTTCGTCAAAAATACTGAGTTAGGCTAAAGGTTGCCATTTGGGGTTTATGTTAGGTTTATAGTTAGGTTTAGTTTTAGGTTTAGGGCTAGGTAAAGTGTATAGTCTAGCATTACCGTTAATAATTCGGTTCGTGTAGGAAAATCACAGCGGAACAATGAATGTGAACGAAGTGTGAACTCACCTTCACAATGTGTGTTATTATAAGATGATATCTGGAAACCAATCGGACATTCACACCGAAAGCTTCCCACGGTGTTCACACACTGATGAGAACATCCTCCGTTTTCATTAGCACACTCATCAATATCTGCATCATAATTATAAAAATATGAATGACATTATTTGATGAGGTACGTTTGGAAATACTACTATTTAGTTCTTGCGACATAATCTAATATAAACAAATAATTGGTTGAAATGTAATTGCACTGTGTTGGGAATAATCGGAACCACTTAGAAAACGATCGAGAAGCCTTGCGATAAATCATCTCAAGAGCGATTTCAATACTTTATTACATGTCCCATAAACACATAAGACTACTATAATTGTCTTTAATATTCTTTACTATCGTGTCAAACAAATTATTATTGTAAAGGTGCAATTGCACTATGTTATGAAAAATTGGCATCTCTTAGTTTCATACAGCATGGACATAACTTCATTTTGTAAAAATATCTTTAGGTCATTAAAGTCAGTAATATGAGTAACACGGTTACAGAATAACCATAATCATGAACACCAAATCAAAACTTGATTGAAGCCTTCTTTACCTGTGCAGTTACGGAAATCATCGGCGACAGTGGCGTACCTGGGGTACTCCGTCAGGGGGGGCAAGCGACCGAAACAAACAAAAAAGGCGATGCTAATTTTCACTTCTGGCGAGCGAGCGAGCAAAAAAAAAATCTTTAAGTAACGTTTGGTATATAAACTGGTATTGTTGCAAGTTGGGGTGGGAACATTCACTTGTTAGCGACGTTAATTTAATTTTTTTGCAAACGAGCGTAGCGAGCAAGAAAAAAATCACTCTTTTTTAATAATTGCCACTTAAACTTGGTTCAATTGTCCCATGCAGGGCGCGGGAACAATATTGTGTTTATGGTGATTTCATACCCATTTTAGCTAGCGAGCCTAAATACATCTTTCTCTCAATGAATTGCTATATAAAATTTGTTTCATTGTTGCAGGTCGGGGGCGGGCACAATCGTGTTTAAGGCAATGTCAATCCCATTTTGGCGGGCAGGCAACCCCCTACATTTCTCTTTTTAATGATATTGTAGCAGGTTAGTGGTGCGCACATAATTCCACGAGCTAGCGAAAAAAAAATCACTTCTCGTTTATAGGGAAAATACGGTACATAAAACTTAGGTTCATTGTTCCATGTCAGGGACGTGATTATTAAAAGCGGTGTTATTTCTATTTTGGCGAGCGAGCGTAGCGAGCGAGCAAAAGAATCACTTCTCTTTTGTAGGGAAAATATGGTACATAAACTTGGGTTCATTGTTCCATGTCAGGGACGTGATTATTAAAAGCGGTGTTATTTCTATTTTGGCGAGCGAGCGTAGCGAGCGAGCAAAAAAATCACTTCTCTTTTATAGGGAAAATATGGTACATAAACTTGGGTTCATTGTTCCATGTCAGGGACGTGATTTTTAAAAGCGGTGTTATTTCTATTTTGGCGAGCGAGCAAAAAAATCACTTCTCTTTTATAGGGAAAATATGGTACATAAACTTGATTTCATTGTTCCTTGTCAGGGACGTGATTATTAAAAGCGGTGTTATTTCTATTTTGACGAGCGAGCGTAGCGAGCGAGCAAAATTTTTGTAATGATAATTGGTTCATAAATTTCAGATTTTTGTTGTTGCAGGGCAGGGCTTACACAATCATGTCTAAGGTGATGTTAATTCCGTTTTGGCGAGCACGAGCACACCAAAACTTCTTTGAATAACGTTTGGTACATAATTATTAACTGGTTGTTGCAGGTTGGGGCGGGCACGTTAGCGGTGTCAATTCCATTTTGGCGAGCGAGCATAGCGAGCAAGCAAAAAAAAAATTCTCTTTTAATAGAAATTAATAAATAAACTAGTTTTTATTGGTGCAGGTCAGAATGGACGCAATCGCGTTTAACGCGATTCAATTCCTTTTTGGCGAGAGGGCGTAAAAACTCTTCCATTTTTAATGATATTGTTGCAGGTCAAGGGTGGGCACAATTGTTTCCAAAGCAATATCTATTCATTTTATTCGCGAGCAAGTGTAGCGAGCGAGAAAAATGAATTACTCTCTTTTAGTAACATTTGGTACATACACTGTGTGTTATTGTTGCCATGGTTGCAGGTCGGGGCCCGTCGGGGCAGGCACAATTGTATTCTAGGCAATGCTAATCCTTTTCTTTTTTCAGGGGGACGGGCAAGTGAAAACATTTAATACAAAATAGGCTAGCAAGCAGTTCGCGCCAGCGAAGAGTTTCGAATTTGTTATATCACTTATATTTTCCTATTTTCATTTGTCTAAAATTTTCAGGGCCGTATGCGGAATATTTTTCTGGTGGGGGAGGGGGGAAAGATGCGTTAAAAGTTTTCGAAGAATCTCAAAAGCAAAAGGAGTGAAGGGAGTTCGAGCGACCGAACTGGTCATGAGGGTACTTTTGCATTTTCAAAAGTAGAATTGAAGGATTTGGTATAGGCCTACACTACATTTGCAGGAAAAAAACTGTACGTTTTCAAAATATCTGGGGTCAACTGCCTCCCCCCCTGGTGCGTACGGCCATGGTTTTTTTTTTTTTTAATTTCCCCATTTTTTTCCTTTCCTTTTCTTTTCCCTTTTTTTTCCTTTTCTCTTCTTCTTCCTTTTTCTTTCCTTTTCCTTTTTTTCCTTTTTTTCTCTTTCTCTCCTTTTTTTCTTCCCTTTTCTTTTTCTTTCCTTTCCTTTTTTTTCTTTTCTTTTCCCCTTTTTCTTTTTTTCCCCTGGAGCCCGTCAGGGGGGGCACTCTGCCCCCCCTGCCCCCCCCATAGGTACGCCAGTGATCGGCGATGGTAAACCCGTGTCGGCATCCACACACATAGTGACCAACCATATTCAGACAGGCTTGTTGACATCCTCCGTTCTTCTTACGGCATTCGTTCAAATCTAAGCAATTTTTAAATATTCAAAATGAATGAGAATCTATTTAAGTCAATTCAAGATTTCAGTAAAATGTAATAAATTCAATGATAAGATAATGCAAAGAGCCTTGGATTCCTTCTTTTTTTTAATTTTGGTACCATTGGTTTTTTATAAACAATGATGAACAGTGATGAAACTAGAAAATGTAAATTGTTGACAGCGAGGAAGAAAAATAAGAAGCTATAAGGATCTTCTATAAGGACTTGAATTTAATTTCACTTGTGAATGAAATGGCAGTATTTTAATAATACGTAGAGAACAGACAATCAAAGATTTAGAGAGAATTAAAAGGCGATAGTGAGAAAGTGTGAAAAAGAGACTGAGTAGCGGGATAGGGATGGGGAGTAAGAAATAGAAAGAGAGAGATACAGAGAAAATTGGACACAAAATGGCCGAAAGAGACTGATAGTGATATGTACCAGAGAAATATGGTAAGGGTAAAGGGTCATACAAGGGAACAAAAAGAGCAAAGAAGAGGGAGGTTGATAGAGAGAGAGAGACAGAGAGACAGAGAGAGAGAGAAACAGAGGGAGGAGATGAATTTAAGAACAGAAGAGAAAGAGAAATCGGGCAAACAGATAAACAGAGAGAGAGAGAGAGCGTTTACTAAATGATTTGTTTAGGTCAACACATCCTCCCTCTAATCACGGTTATTTTGTTATTTAGTTTAAGAAATGAAATTAATAATCATAACGAGCGAATGAAGGTGAGACAGAACATCGTTAGACTGGAATTTTAAAAAACAAGGAGCACCGTCTTACCTCTTGTAAGGTACTTGGCCAGAAACCTGGTCATGGCCCCATACACAGACTTCTCTTTCTTCACCGAGTGCAGCTCGATCCTCAGGGAGGGGCCTGACGAAACCACGCCCACTCGTTTCTGAGACCGACAGAGCTTGGTGATGAGTTTCGATCCGCTGTCTGGCCCGTCGATTAGCTTCAAAAAATCCCCATGGCAACCGGTACTTTTGATGTGAGGTATCAGGAGTTCGTTGAGACGGAGCTGAACGATAAAGCCGAATTTGACTTGAATATGCCACATGCTGTCTGTATCGGGCGGGAATGAGAGCGGGTAGTTCATACTTTTTATGATGCCTCGCGCTGACGTCAAGTACCTCTTGAAAGCTGTATAAAAGAAAAAAACAATTAATTTGAATAATTCTTACCAAATATTAAAAGAAATACAAGATAGATAGTCTACATCAATAAATGTGACGTTTGATTAATCAATTAGATTCTTTTCGCACGAAACATCCAAATATATCAGTGTAAAACATTGTTTATTTTTTCACTAAAACTTGATATCGGTTATCATTTTCCCTATAGTTATACCAACAGAATCAATAACGTATCAACCGCTAGAAAAGATTAACAATAAATTTGTTAAGATAGTAGATTGCATGGAAGCAGTGACAAGTCTGCGAAAAAACTCAAGATCTATCATTTAACGCATCAACTAACATAATAATGCACTCGAAATTCGCTTATAAGTTCAATTTCTTTAAAGCACTACATTCTCAATCATGGATACTGCTTTTCGTGTTGTCGCAGAAGCAGATAAATATGGGGTCGTCATTATAATTATATTCAAAATTTATGGACGGTACGAACATTACTTACACACCGATTGGTATCGAGCAGCGAAGCCTGAAGCCATGCGGTGTCTCTTACGTCCGGATTTAAACCTCACAAAGAGATTCGATCATACACAGTATGTCCTCCGTAGAGGACTAGAGGGCCAACTAAAATCGTGACCTTTGACATTTCATAGGTTTTGCATTGGATGCATTATGGGGGTTTTGTCCGATTTGAACGACGGTTTTGGAGGGTCAATGAATATTCATGAGCAATGATGTAAAAATACGCCAACTACTGTTTATTGATTGGCCATCGACAAAATGTTTTATGTATTAGGTCATGCATAAAACATTTTTTTCGTTCCCAGAATTCCCTACGATTTGAGCACGAAAATGGCGGTTGTATGAACTGCAACTTTCAAGTTATTCAATTACAAACAATGAAACATTTTTCTTTTAAGTGAATTTCTATTATAATAGAAGTTTGTCAAGTACATCTCAGTGAAGCAGAAAATCTTCAGGCAAACATCGACATCAAAGTGATACCATACGGATACCAAAAAGTAAGTAAAGATCAATTTTGTGTGAAGATCTCTGAAATGATTGTGATGTGTTCGTCATTGCAGTGAGGGGATCTCCGCATTGTCACAACGTATTACCCGGTTAACCCCCTACCCCATCCTCTTTTCTTTCTTCTGACCAAAGAATATTAACTGATTGAATGAACTCTGATTTAAGTCATCGACGGTAGTATTTTTAGAAAATATCAGGATTTTACCGTAGGTTATTTCATTAGAGCACATCTCATAATTTTAAGTTCAGTTCATAGCTTGATTACCGATAGTATCGGTCGTAGATGTGGACCTGTTGGAGACTGCGCAAATGGCTCATTGCTAGTCCAAGCCGATGAGATCTCGTCGAGCCTATGTGTCTCAGTATGATCTTCAATCCGCCGGTTCTAGCCGGCTGTAACACTCCACCAAGAAGCGACTGCGTTTCCTGAGCTGGCGCGGCTATAACTTACAGTGTGTTACTGTAAAGCCTAGGGCTAGGCTAGTATTCGATCATAGCATAGTCTGGCCTGAATTTTCTGTCTCTTTTGTTCGTTAGCCTCTGATTTGGGTAGGGTCGGCTCCTCTCTTCAGCCGACCCTACCCAAATCAGAGGCTAACGAACGAAAGAGACAGAAACATTCGGGCTAAGCAGAGCCTAAGGCTAAGCAGTGAGCAGAGCCTAGGTCTAGATCTAGATCTAGACTAGTCTAGATCTAGCACTTAAATATAAACAGCATTTAACCCCAACATCTAGTATAGGCCTAGATCTAGGGCTAGATTCTAGGCCTAATGCATTCTAATAAAGAAAGACTAAATGCCTGTGTAGGTGGATCAAATAAATGATGTGGAAGTTATGGAGAGGGGGGGGGGGTGCACAATCATTCTGTGCCCCCTTTTTCAGATGTGGCATAGGAACGGGTCTAGATCTAGATCTAGAGTCTAATTTTATGCCACCCCTTTTAGTTTTATGTTGGTGAGAATTCTGGATCCAACCCTACATATGATATGGATATTTCTTTCTCTATTAAAGGACATGAACAAAGTTATAAACTGATAACTAGTGCATTTGATATTAGCAGGAACCTTACTAAGTTTATTTTTTCTTTAAATTGTAGATCCTATGGAACAAAGAAGCAGATAATGATCACAGAAGTGCAACAAAGAGCACCAGGTCCTGATCATCAAATGTTATGGTGTAGATTTAATCAGGAACAGGACACCTAAGTTGAACTCTGGCAAGGTATGTTTGTATGAAGTTCGAAAATATTCAGGCTGTATAATCTAAGCCCATGCGAACACCGCACTCGACTTGGACTATATACAAAGATTTGGGGAACTGTCATCTTGTGTTGCATTATATCTTGTAATTCTCATTTATTCTCTAGCTTTTTATTTAGGTGACAAACTATGGTGTTTATTCTCTCAGCATATTAAAAGACGTACTCAAAGGCATTTTTCCCTAAATATTACATTATATCTAACAAACTTTTGTTCACAAAAGTCTAGCAAATAATAACTTAAAATAAATTGGAAATTACTTTTAAAATAATTGGAAATACATCTAAACTCTTCTTTTCAAAAAAGGCCCTATCAGATAGACATAAGTTTATCATTTTTTAACAAATTTAAATGCAAGACCTAAAAAAAAGTGGGGAGGTACTAGATCTATTTTTGAAAATCCAATATAATGCAGCAGTTTTAATCTTATTTGATTTCTCCTCTCTTTTTGTTTTTATTATGCAGGTTGTCCCTTGCAGAAGGTTTGATACCCAGGCTTCTTTTGTACAAGTCCCTTGTCTACCCTCATCTTGAGAACTGTTCCTGTGTCTGGTATCCCTACAACATCTCAGATGTCCAGGACGCTACTTCACAATGAGGACCACAAGTGAACTAGCAGTTTGACTGAGATGATCAGCACCTTTAGTTGCCTACTATATCTACAACTACAAGGCACTCTGCAAGAAGACTGGGAATGGTGCACAAGATAGTCAATGGTCTCTCCGCTCTCCCTTGAAAATTTTCCCACTGTACTACTTATAGCTACTTGCGCCCTCTATATAGCAAACAATGCCTAATCGGTGCCTGTTGGTCCCCCATGATCCTCTTCTTCTTATATTAATTGAGAGCTGATTTGATGAGATAACCACCTGTAAGTGACCTTGCAGGGTGGTCTAATCCCCCTGACCAAACTAGTACAGAAAAGTTTGTATTTGCCCAACACTCTGTCCCAAAGTTAATGGAACTTACTTCCAGCAAATATAGTGCATGCTGACAGTCCAGAGAACTGCCAGGGACTACTTCTGAGGCATCTACTCTCCTTATCCCATTTATCCCACTTAGAAACAATCTATCTTCCTCACACCACTTGTAATCTTTAGTATTAATTCATCTCCGTGATAGGCTACAACGCCTTTTGAAGATTACCAGAAGAAGAAGAAGAAGGTATATCGAGGGTCATGAAAGTAATCATTTGTTCTTTTAAATGCGTGTACATGTAACATAGTTGTTTGATATTTAATCTTAAGTCAAGTTCTGACAAATATATTAGGGATGCTGAACTGGATAGTAAATTGAAGGGGGGGAATAAAATGATGTAGTTCAATAGTAATACTGTAGTAATGTAATTAATAACATTAATAATAATAACAATATTACAAATAGTAACAATAATGACAATGATCATGATAATAGCAGTAATAATAATGATAATACAGGTAGTAGTAAAAACAACAATTATGTCAAATGTAAGATAAAGTACTCATAAAACTCAGTATATACCTGTGCTTTACATAATAAAATAGCATGTTGATATTATTGAATTTTTTTCCTCAAAATCTACAGTAAACGTTTACAACTGAAAAATTTGAATTCAAGAGACAGCACCCCCCCCCCCCCCTCCCCCATCCTTTTGTCATCCTTTTGTTGATGTCATGTTGGATTCAAAAAGATCTTTATAGAAACAAAATATGTTGATAAATGAGTTCATAGATGTTAATAAATTAGTTAATACTACTTAATTCTGTTCTTTTCATTTTCTTATTTTGTGAAATATATGTGATGATGCTGGTGATTATGATGATGTAGGCACTCTGTAATGATAATGCTCTATGACTGAGGTGAGATGGGCTGATGCAGTCTTGTGTAGAATTGAGTATGGTGTTCGACCTTTTGATGTTTGTTTATATCTGGCATCAGCGAGATAGATTTAACCATCTTTCCTAATGAGAGAGAAAGCGGAAATGTAACAAGAGAGTGGGCAAGACTAATGTATAAATATAGTATAAAAAATGGTTTACAATAAAGATGGGGGGGGGGGGTTAAATAAAGAATAGGTCAATGCCAAAATGATGAAAGCATAGGTAATTGGGGTGTGGATGGGGGAGGGAGGGTAATAGAGCCTATGGAAATGTCAATATTGGAAGGGGTCCCTGTATTGAAAATGTTACTGATGGGGGGAGGGGGGGGGGGCAAATTTTAAAAAAATCAGTGGCGACGAATGCAAGAATGAAAAGAACGAGACAATATAGAAATTTCATTGGGGATATGGGGCACAATATGAAGATCATTGAAGTCGAGGTGAGAATGATTCATTATTTGGACACTAAAAATATGAATATATCACTTGTTGAGTGGGCTAAATGATCAGTGCAATTTTTCTGATTAAAAAAATATTTAAGTTAATAAACGAACAAAACAAAAAAGAGGTAAAACATGAATTGAGGTACCACAGTGAAATGGGGTCATTATTTTTGCCTTTTAACTGAACTGAATTTAAAAAAATGTACTTTCCATCCTGGTGACAGTGAAGTTTGTGGCCCCAACTAAGTCAACCATTTAAAAGTTTATACCCCCTCCCCCCCCCCCCCCCCACCCCCAACACACACACCTCCCCATATACTCTGACCTTTGTTCTACATTTATTCGGCCCAAGGATTCTGTCGAGAGTAACGCATGCGCATTGCCTTTTTTCATTACGATAATATGCTAATAAGTGGAAATGAGCTCATGAATATTCCAAATTTTAATTTACATATTTTACGCGCTGCGCGCAGTCCAAAATCCCCATTTCGCTGGTGCACTAAACATTTGTCGTCTTCATAGGCTAATACATGAAAAGTGGAAGCAGTGTGCACTTTTGACCCTCCAAAATTTCCCCATGGCTAGACGGATGCAGAAGCGGAGTTGAACCCCCCTGTGCTCTGGCAGTTGTGCTGCCCGCTACGTTAAGAGAGAGACGTAAACCAGGCACAATCGGTTCATCATACACTGACATTGCTAAATCAGAGACATGTCTTATTCTGTACTCTTTGTCTCTCTCTCGATTTTCTATCAATTTTTTACAACCTCTCTCTCTTTTCATAGTGTTGTTTCATGTGTCCATTTGTTTGTCTAAACATTACATTTGATATTTTGATGGTGTAAACATTCAAAACTGAAAATGGATTTCCACTCCCATCTTCTCATCCTCCTCATTTTCTTCTTCTTCCTCCTATACTCTTCTTCCTCCTCCTCCTTTTCCTCCTCTCCGCTCCCTGGTAGTCCGCTTTCTGTTCCTCCCTCATCCCCTCCTCCACCTACAAACTCCTCCCCTTCGTCTTCGTCTTGTTCTTCCTTTTCCTCTTCTTCTTCTTCTTCTTCTTCTTCTTCTTCTCTTCCTTTCTTTTTCTTCTTTTCTTCTTCTTCTTCTTCTCCTCCCTCTTCTTCTTCTTCTTCTTCTTCTTCTTCTTCTCCCTCTTCTTCTTCTTCTTCTCCCTCTTCTTCTTCTTCTTCTTCTTCTTCTTCTTCTTCTTCTCTTCCTTTCCTTTTCTTCTTCTTCTTCTTCTTCTTCTCCTCCCTCTTCTTCTTCTCCTCCCTCTTCTTCTTCTTCTTCTTCTCGCTCTTCTTCTTCTTCTTCTCCCTCTTCTTCTTCTTCTTCTCCCTCTTCTTCTTCTTCTACTTCTTCTTCTTCTTCTTCTTCTCCCTCTTCCTCATCTTCTTCTTCTGTTTCTTCTTCTTCTACTTCCTCCTCCTCCTCCTCTTCTTCTTCTTCTCCTTCTCCCTTTTCTTCTTCATCTTCTCCTTCTTCTTCTCTTCTTCTTCTTCTTCTTCTTCTTCTTCTTCTTCTTCTTCTTCTTCTTCTGGTTAAATATGCTTCAGGTATAAAGTGAAACTAAAGGTTTGTTTTTGTGTTGAATATAGCAGTACAATATTATTGTCGCGTGGGCATTTAGTCCTACCAGGGAGGTGAAACTTTCACATGCCCTGGTCCTACATCCATAAAGACACTTGAGTACGAGGACCCTCGAAACTACTACCCTGGATTAAATCTTGTCGCAAGATGGCGTAATTCATTTCGTTACTTTGCTCCAAGAAGGGTTCCGTTGTTTCCTTTACAGCTATGCACTTCTTGTTGTCTTTTCTGTATGGCTGTCTCTTTCTAATAGAGAGAGAGAGACAGAGAGAGAGAGAGGGGGGGGGGGGGGGTTGGTGGGGGAGGGGAGGTAAGGAGAGGAGAGAAGAGAAATAGATAAAGGGTGATTGTATGGGAGGAATAGACGGAAGGAAAGGAAGAGAAAAAAGAGACAGCGACAGTAAAAAAAAAAAAAAGAGAGAGGGTGGGATGGAGAGTAATAGAGAAAAGTAAAGAAAGAAAGAGAGAGAAAAAAACATGACATGTTGTAAATAGCATATCCACAATCGATATGTTTTTAATTCACGATCTTCATCCTTATTCCCTTTACTCTGGTTTAAAAAAATGTGCGCTACATCGGGAGAAAAAAAAACTAAAAACAAAGGAAGACTAAGAAGAGAAAGAAGTAGAAGAAAAAGAAGAAGAAGAAAAAGAAGAAGAAGAAGAAGGAGAAGAAGAAGAAGAAGGAGAAGAAGAAGAAGAAGAAGAAGAAGAAGAAGAAAAAGAAGAAGAAGAAGAGAGAAGAAGAAGAAGAAGAAGAAGAAGAAGAAGAAGAAGAAGAAGAAGAAAAAGATAAAAGTAGAAGAAAAAGTGAAAAGAAAAGAAATAGGCCTACGTTAACTAAAAAAAGACTAGAAATGGCCGTTTAAAGACTTCAAGCTTGATATAAAAAAAATCAGTATTTTAATGACATGTCATTTTCCCTGGCTAGCCGGTAATTTAGTTATTATTTGTAAAAAAAAGAGCAAGAATAATAATAATTTCCAGCCGTCATAATTAAGCTGGCGCTCTTTCGTATACAACCAAAAGTATGAAGACGCCCCCCCCCCCCCCGAATTGAATCATGTATAGTAGCCAAACTTAGCTGTCAGATTTTGCTTGCATCCTCTCTTCCTTCTTTCCTTGACGAGAAATGAGGAAATACTTATCTCTGTATATGAATGTGCATACTTATGCCATCATGAAGAACCACTTGACCTTGAACTATATCGTTATTCAGTAACTGCATGTATAAAGGATGTTACCTTGAACAAAACTAAACCTCTTAGTCAAAGAGAAAAGCTTGTCAACCCGAAACAAATCTCGAAATGCAATTCATCATTCAGGTAATTGTAAGCAGTTTTATAATGATCGATTTTGTATATTTTGTTTCGTTTGAAATCCAATAGCTAGGGCTATAAAGAGAGTTCACCTCGAAAATATAAATACAAGTAAATGATGTATACGAACGAGCTCATTAGCGATCTATCCGTGTTAAGGATAAAAAAAAAGAATTTCCGTTTCGGTTTAATAAAATTTGGAGTGGACTATTAGGCTATTATTATATTATTATTATTTATTATTATTATTATTTTGCTCTGGTTCGTAATGTTATGAACCAGAGCAAACTAACTATGATTTCCTATTTAATTATATTTATTCGGATGGTCATACCTCAGCCAATACAATACAAAATCAATTGGTTTTCGATGCTTGGACATTATTTATGATGCTCTTTCTGAAAATGAAGTTCAAATTAATAAATTTTAAAATAGATTGTTATTATGTCACTGCTTCGGTACTCCATTGCATGCTTTTCATTACAACCCCCCCCCCCCCAGTAGAATAGTCTCAGTAAATGAATCACACGTGATCTACTTTGAACGAGTTTGAACTTATGCTTAAACAATTTTTCATTTTAAGATTTACCTTAAGATTTTTTAATTTTTTTTTTGAGGCCACCATCCTTGTCAAGCTTTGCTTATGATTGCGGTCTCCTGCACTTTTCCAACAGAATAGTTCGGATATTACTTTAAATTTATGATAATATGTTATGGAAATATTAAGTTTCGTTATTATATGTACATATATTATGTAAAAAAACAAAAAACATTTCTAAATTTAGAAATTATTGTTTGTTTATGTTGTATTATACCTTACATTTATATGTTCTTTGTTATTCAGTTATATTATATTTGGAAACAAATGCAGAAAAAAAATCAAATCATTTTTGATAGGGATCTAGATTTGTAGGAAAAAATACTTAGACCTAGTTGCCAGTTTGGAGTAGAAAATATGGATAATGCCTATGTTTAGTTTCTAAAAAATTAATGTTCGGAATTTATTGACACGAGTGTACTTAAAGATAAACTCCAGTACTGGTAAAAAAAAAAAAAAAAAATTCTCACAGAATCAAACGAAACTTACACTGAATGTTCAAGATTACAAATAAATGACATGT